CTCTCTCTCTCTCTCTCTCTCTCTCTCTCTCTCTCTCTCTCTGCATGCCCTTGACCTCTTCTCTCTTTGTTGGGGATTAGCAGAGATTTTACAGCTTGATTTCCAATCTTAAATAATATGTTCATATGGAGAACCTAGAATTTTAGAAATTTAGCTCTAGTGCAAAGGTGTTCTGAATTATGTCTAACAGTTCATTTGCTGTGGACATAGCAATGCTAGCTTAATTCATTTCAAAGTGTATACCTGTAGATCCACACCATGGGAAATTTGTCAACACAGAATAGTGGTGATTATAGAGCGGTAGCAGAGTAACCTTGCAAGTAGTAATTGTGAGCCATGTCTCACAAATGCCTCCCTTCATATAGACTCTATAAAGACATCATTTAAAACAGAAATAATTTATTTATAGTTTAATATTTGGATCACATTTTGTCCCTTTTGTTTTCATGCAGTTATGATGAAATGATAAAATATGACATTCCAGCCACCATTAACTTCATCCTGAAGAAAACAGGACAAAAGCAAATTTACTATGTTGGACATAATCAAGGCACCCTTATTGGTATGCTAACAAAGAACAAAATTAGACAATGCTGAAATTTTATTCTGAAGAACACAAATATATATGCAAATTTTGCTACTATTTGTAAAACACATATAAGCTCTTTGACAGCTGATAAAAATGTAACCTGCTATAAAATGCCAAATGTTGAAACCATAATTTAGTTAAATGAAGTGCATGTGTGAGATAGTTCTAAGTTTCTCTGTAGCTAGAATTTTTGATACAAATGACAGACTGTGTGAAGGTGTGCACGTACACATGCGCATGCCCGTGTGTGTGTGTGTGTGTGTGTGTGTGTGTGTGTGTGTGTGTGTGTGTGTGTGTTCTTCCTCATGTGACATTGTACATGTGGAAGACTGGTGTGTCAATTCTGCTTAGAAGTTTAAAGGGTCTGGCTCCACTGAGCTCTTAAGTTTTCTTCTCTTGGTCATTTCTCAACAGCTTTATTGGCATTGTATGAGCTAGTACATAATATATGTTTTCAAAGAAAAAATAATTCTAGTTCTATCCATTTTCCTGAAAATTTCATATGTCATTGTTGGGTATATGAGCTAGCTTGTTGGGACCCAATCCCTTTGTGGGGGTACCATGTTCAGTCTTAACACAGAAGGCAGGGGCTTGGGCCTTCCCCAACTGAATGTTTCAGATTTTGTCAACTCCCTGTTGGAGACCTTACCTTTTGGTAGGAATGGATGGAGGATGGGCTGGGTGGGGCTAAGGAGGAGGGCTGGAAGGAAGATTTTAGTTGGAATGTAAAATGAAATTTAAAAAATAAGTAAATAATTTTTTTTAAAGTACCAAAGGAGCCAGGCATTGGTGGCACACTACTTTAATCCCAGCACTCGGTAGACTGGTATTAAAATCACTGAGTTCGAGGACAGCCTGGTCTACAGAGCAAGTTCCAGGACAGGCTCCAAAACAATGCAGAGAAACCCTGTCTCAAAAAACAAACAAACAAACAAAAAGGACAAAAAGGATAGATGTCTGACTGCCAGGAAAATTATTTCTAACTAATGTATGCATTTGTTCAACATAGAGTATGATAGATAGATTATTAATAGACAGATTGATTATAGATATCTAAGTAGATAGATTTGTATATATGTGTTCACCTGCAAGAGTGGGCTGGAGATGATGCAGTAGGGTGGGTGTCTTCTCCAAGAGTACATTTTTCACAAGTGCTGAACTGATCCTTAAATATGGTGAGTCTGGCTACTCAAAATAGCGAGGAGTCAATAAATCATAAACAGAGTTATTCCCAACAAATTAAATGGAATTTAAATGTTTTAAAGTCATAACAATTGGTGAGTAAACAAAGGGAAATCTCCAAGGCAAATTTTAAATTCCTGACAAAAAGAAGGAATAAGCTTTGTGAAACAGCCTAACCACACAGACACTTTTAAGAAAAAAGGAATGAAAAAAGAAAAACTCTTCTTATTTCTTTCAGCCCTGGGGGCATTTTCCACAAATCAACAACTGGCTGAAAAGATCAAAATGTGTTTTTTATTGGCTCCTGTTGCTACTGTTAAGTATGACGAAGATTTTCCACACCTTCTATCTTACATCTGTCCAACATCTTTAAAGGTTTGTGATGAACTCAAAGTGGTGGTATAATTACACTTTTTAAAATAAGCTTGTAAAAGAGGAGTTCTGCCTGTACAAACTAGTGCTGATTCACTTGCATGAATAGCCTCCCATGATTGGCTACCTCAAAGTTGGGCAGCTTGAGTTTTGTCCTATGGACTTTCTTAAGCATGATTGTATTTTTCTTTAATCTATAGCTGCTTCTTACTAATTTAACTTTATTTTTAAGAATTTCATATGTTAGTATTGTATATACATAATTTCCATCCCTCCCTGTACTCCCCTAACTTCTCCTATGCCCCTTCTCCCTCTCAAATTCATGACCCCCTCTTTAATTGTTTTCATTACACACACCTGAACATGCCTTCTAAATTCATTCAGTGTTCCTTGTATGTATGTTCATATGTTTAGGTTTGATCACTCTGTATTGGATGATCTTTTGAATGTTTCATATTGCAATTTATCTTACCTTGTGTTTCACTTTCAAGTTTTCTATCACTGGCTTCTTAAAATTGCCATACTACATTTTGTTAGTTATGTGATTTCTTTTACACTTGCATTCAACTTGCCAGTGTATACACTAAGTTCTCTTCATTATTCTTGATATCATTATTTTCATTATATAGCTACTGCCATGGCATTGTAGAACTGTTAAGAAATGTGTTTACTAAAGATAAAATCATTGCAAATATCAACCTTCAAGGTGATGGCAGTTTTTATTTTGTCAGTTTGGATTTCATCTTACGACACTATCAGGATGCCAAGACTATCTATGATATTGCTTGTCACCATCAAAGTGTGATGGTAAAATCCCTGTACATCCTTGCCATCACTTATGGTTCTTAAGTACTTTTCACTCTATGCTTGGTTTAGACCACCAAACTGTGGTTTCATTTGTATTTAGTTGTGACTGAATGTAGGGCAACTTTTCAAGTGTATCCTTCCACTTATACAATCAATGTCCCTTTATTATTGAAGACTTCGTTTTGTGTTTTTATTTCCAACTATTTTAAATAATTGCACCAGTGTCTTGTCTTGAAAATGTTCATGTCATTTTAGAAAGTTAATCCATACATGTAAATGCAGAACAAACAGAACTATTGTAAATTCATGGCCATCCTGAGCTACATAGGTAGTACCTGGCAGGCATAGGAAACACAGTAAAACTTCTCAAACATAGAAAAGAAAAGAAAAACATTAGAAGCAAGTACCTTCTTTACCTCATTTATAACTCTCATAGCCTTCTGGGGTTCTGAGAAGCTAGTTAGGCATTACATGTTATGAAGAACTTTGTAGTATTCTGGGATGTTAGCTATTCTGAATCACCTAGGTTTGTTCTATTTAAGAGCATACATCATAGTTTAAATAAAAAAACACAAGAAAAACAAACAAAACAAATAATTTGTTCATTGTCTCTGTCTTTCATCTCTAATCAATTTGATCACACCATAATGTATACAATATATAGGTTATATCCAACGCATTATCCACTCTTAGCCATCCTCCTCACTCTGAATTCCACCGTCTTTCAATTCATCCCACGCTGCTTGCATAGTCTATTTTTTGATTCATTGAACCTAGTTGAGTATGTTTCATGAACATGGTAAGGGTCTGTGTAGAGATAGCCTATTCATCCCAGAATTTTGTGGGTGACCCTGCTCAGATACCCCTTGGGGGAGGGGGTAAGAAGAAGCAGCACCAATGACTCAGGCACTGGGAGTCAGTGAGTAGCAGAGCATGCTGCAGACTGGTTTAATAAGGAAGTTAGACTTGACTTTATACTCCCTCCCAAGGTCTTATTGGTTCAGGTGGCTGACTGCTATATTGCCCTTCTGCATTGGTGTCTCTGGGTCAGGTGTCTCTTCTTCAGCAGTCTCTGGGTATAGAGGCAGGCTTGGCTCAGGGAGAAAGTGCCTCCCAGGAATGCTTACGCAGACTGTCCTGAGCATCTGCGGCTTCCGTAAGTTGCCAGTAGTTTCTCCTACACTTGAACAACATGATAGCCCCTCTCCTGGTCACAGATTTGTTAAATTGTCTTTTTCTGTTTAAAAGATTGCTTGTATTTTATTAGATTGGCAATCATTTACAGAATAAATGTTCATAAAATCAGCAAGAGAAAATATTCTATTATACATTGAGGTGCAATACATTTATCTACAAAATATTCTGTCTATGAACTTTTTGTAAATGTATGGTTTCATAGTCTGAGGATGTTAGCTTCTATTAGTTGTCATCAATAAATTGTTAGTGGACATTATTGCTGAGTGCTTTTTCTACATACATTGAGATCATGCATGATTTATTTTTACTCTGTTAACATGGTGAATTACCAATTTCCTGAGCATTAAGATAACATTTATTCCAGGGACAAATCTCAGTTTTAAAATGTATTATATTTCTATAAATCATTTTCTATTTTCACCAGGGAAGGCAGGGCAACTAGCATCACATTTCAAAAATCTTAACATTTACATTTATTCTCTAGTTAATTTAATTTATCATTGAGACAGCATTTCATATATTGTAGAGTGACCTTGAACTTGCTGTGTAATTGAGAATAACTTTGAACTGTTCTTTATCCTCTTTCCTATGCTTGTTAAACAATGGAATTTTGGATGTGTGTTAGTTACTATGTTGGTTTTATTTAGTGCTAGGGATCAAGTCATCTGAGCTACACAACTAGCTGTCATCTTCATTTCTGTGAAGTATGGGTTGTATTTCCTTTTCTCTCTCAATTTAGGGATAGAATAAACCAGCCTCATAAAAAGAATAGTATATATTTCACCTATCATGTGAGTATGAAATTTTCCTAGCTGGAGGTTTGACTATAAGATCATTTTTAAATGGACACAAAAATACTTAGATTGTCCACTTTTAAATGATTAAACAGACAATTTGCCTAAATTCTGTGGCCTTATTTTATTTGTGTCACTCACTTTATCACCACAAAGTATCCCCTACTAGTCTACTAATAGTTACAGATTGCTAAAATGTAAGGTTAGAGAAGTTTAATTTTACTCTGTAGGCTATTCCAGTCGAATCACTACAAAAACATTTCATTATTGTGCTTCTTGGATACAGGCTTATCTCAGACCACTCAGCAATCTCAAGTCTTCCCTGTGATTCATTCCCTAGACTTGAATCCCTTTCCTCAAATAGATGTGCAGTCCATAGTTAGCAGAAAATCCAAGGAGAATCTCTGTATATCTTTGAATACCATGTCCTTCTCCTCTGATGGAAACCTTAGCTACCTTTTATTTCTCCAAATTTCATTAGCTCATGAAGATTACCTAACCTGGAATCTGCTTTAGGCAGCAAGAGGCTAGGTGGATCACTCTGTTTATTAGATTCAGATTTTTCACATATTACCATGTCTCACAGTTAATATCAATTGTTTCAGAACTCTTGTTTTTATGTATTTTGTGTATGTTTTCAACAAATGCTAGCGGCTATCATTTCAAATCACAGATTCCATTGCCTCATTTCCCCAGGATCTCTAATCACTTGTCCATCTACTACAGTTGCTGATCCTACTCATTTCATCTAAATGGAATCATGCACTGTGGTGTCATATGTTGACTCTCCCAGTTGAAGTAAATGTGTTAGTTCACTTGTGGTATTTATTATAGATACTTCTTTATAAAAGAATAATAGTTTATAAGGTGAATGTACCATACTCAATTGATTGCTATAACCACTACTGACAGGAGTTTTCAGTGTTTTTCTTGTTTTGCTCATTTACAAGTTTTTGTGTGGACATGTTTTCATTTTATTGTATACATGCATCAAAATTTCCACACACTGTTTAACAAGCTTGCTAGTCATTAACCCTGAATAACTTTTCCACAAGGAAGAACTAGAAAGACTGCAAGTACACCACAATGTTCATGATTCTCAGAAGTTTTCATTCAATTGAAAGTGCTTAAAAATAATCATATGATGCTTTTTCTCAAATTATGTGCTGAACATCTTAACAGTGCACTAAGTCAATCCCCGCTTAAGTAACATAGCTTTGTTTTATGTCTTTCACATCCTACAAACATTGTGCTAGATAAAACACTTACTCAGACTAACAGCTGCTCTTCAAATTTGTCAATTTCAGCTCATTTTTGGAGAAAAAGAATTGTTACCTATGGCAGTTTTCAATAAGCAGTCTGGATATACATGCAATGTTATTGTAACCGATACCACATGTTTTGCTATAAAGGTATTGATAACTGGATATGTTTCACAACATTTAAATAAGGTATGTGTTGTGCACTTTCAAATTCGCTATTTTTCATGCTGATACCATAACAACTCTATATGGCTAATTAATCTTTAGTGTTTAGCATGATTATATTAAAGTCAAGATGTGTTTTGTATGTAATTCCCAAGTTATTAACCTGCCAACATAGAAAATGTGGCATGCACCACATATGAATGAATAGCTGGGTGTCATGTATGAATGAGTTTCATCTTTCTTCTACTCACTCCAGTCTAATGCATCTGCTGTCATTCATCTGGTAACTGATCATTCAGTTTAGCAATTCTATTCCAGAACTAAGGATATTTCCACATAAATTATCATCTAAAATATGAATCATTAACAAAAGGAAATTCTTTAAGACATAAAAAGTGAATAAACTGACTCATTTTGTTAATATCTAAACTCTCCTTAATCTTTGATCATAGCATATTATGTCCTTTAAAAAAATTTAACATCAATACCAACAAAATATATGTGTATATTTATTGTTATGATAATTAGAGTCTGGGTTGCGTATTCCAGCCTTAATATGAGGGGATATGCCTAGTGTTATTGCAACTTGATATGCCATGTTTGGTTGATATCGTTGGGAGGCCTTGCCTTTTCTGACAGGAAACAGAGGAGCAGTAGATCTGGGGAGAAACGGGTAGCAGTGGGACTGGGAGGGAATGAGGGAAGGAAAACTGAAGCTGGGATGTAAAACATGAGAGAAGGATAGACAGACAGACAGAAAGACAGACAGACAGGCAGGCAGACAGGCAGATGATAGATAGATAGATAGATAGATAGATAGATAGATAGATAGATGTAATTAAAGTCAACTATTGTGAGACACTCACACAAACCATTGGTGTTCATGAATTCTACTTAATAAAACCCAGTGGTGAGCCCTGAAATCAAAGACATACAAGTAATATAATGTGGCTTGAAAAGTTTAGAGAAAATGTTTAAGAATATATAACAACAATTAAGGAAAAATAATCCAGGTAATGACTATGAGAGAGAGCAATGCAGAGGGGTTGTGGTAGGGACCAGGAAAGGGGAAAATCATAACTGCATTTAAATTTCATTTTTTTTAAAAAAAACTCATATTAAAACAAGAATATCGCTGGGCATTAGTGGCACACGCCTTTAATCCCAGCACTAGGGAGGCAGAGGCAGGCTGATCTCTGTGAGTTAGAGGCCAGCTTCATCTCCAGAGTGAGTGCCAGGATAGGATCCAAAGCTACACAGAGAAATCCTGTCTCAAAAAAACGAAAATAAAAAAACAAAAAGAAAACCCTTGTCAAAAAAAAAAAAAAAAAAAAAAAAAGAAAGAAAGATAGAAAGAAAGAAAGAAAGAAAGAAAGAAATGAAAAGAAAAAAACAAGAATGTCTAGATTATTCACTGTACTCAAAATCCAGATTTACTTATAAACTGATTGGAGATATACTGAATCAGTGTTTTACATGCATTTATGTCTGTATACACTCTGGCAAACATAAGGTCATTGACTACCTAGGAACTAGTGTGATGGACAGTTACAAGCCACCATGTAGATGCTGGAAATTGATGCTGAGTCCTTTTCAAGAACATTATGTACTCTTAACCACTTATGTGTCTCTCCAGTCCTTGAAGATTTATTTTTATAGGAATAATACAGCATGACTATCTTGAAAGATTTTCTGTGGAAGGAAACCAAAGACTGACAAATGTTTATGGTGTCTGACTTTCTCTTAGAGCCGTACTGATGTGTATATAACACACAGTCTAGCACGAACATCAGTTCAAAATCTTCTACATTACAGTCAGGTACAAATTTTAAAATATGTCTCTTTTCTTCTGCTTTTGAAATCCTCCTTCTTCATAAGTTTCAGAAAATCTTTCCCCAGTAGTTTTTGTGGTCAGGGCATTACTTCCTTTTGATGGACTAAAAGAAACTTATCAGTATATCAAATCTTTTCAAGAAAATGTGATAATCACAGAGTGGTCATATTATTTTATCCTCAAAAAGTAAATCTATATACATACATTTTTGGTAAAATTGTTACCAGTTTTAGTAAGTAATTTCTCAGATTGATGCAGGATGAGAATTGTGGTGTCCTTTTGGTCTATGAGTAAACTGTGATAGCTTTCCTATCTACCTATATGACAGCCAAGACACTTCATAGAATGAGTTCATCATACTAATGTCATTTGACAAGATGTAAACTGGTACCTGCACATACGGAGCAAGCCCATCTCAACTTATGAGGGTGTTTTAAAATTACCTTCAAACATATAATATTTATGCATGACCATTGCATAAAATATGATATGGAAATTTTTATTCTATCAGGCAATTATTGATAAACCATTATATATCACATCCTAAGAAGTACTTCTTTATAGTGTTTTGTTGACAAAATTTTATTCAGGATTCTGCAACTCTCTTAACATTTCCACTTTGTGTTACTTACCTCTGAATACTATAATTTCTTATTTTTTTAAATACAGAGATTACGCAACATCTATCTTTTTGAATATTTTTGAAAATTCTTGTGTTGTGTAATATTATAGAATAATTAAGTAAATAAAATTAGAGATGAAGGATATAAACCTTATTACTTATAAAATATTAATGCAAGTAGCAACCAATGTACTATGCAGTATATTTTGAATTCATTTGAATTATAGAGAATCAACACAACTTTTACAAGTAGTAATTTGAGACTTCATGTATTTTATTTTTCTTATAGGCTTTAATTTAAATTCTTATGAATAAAAACATTTGATAATTAGAAATATTTGTAAGTGGAGATTTACTACATACTACATACTATATCAAAAATGATACATCAGTTTTGCATCCTTAAGTAGCTAAGCTTTTATCTTTCATGAATGATATTTTATTGACTTTCTTGATTGCAGTACGTATGAATTGCTACATGTTAAACATTTTATTTGAGATGTTAAAAAGTAAGCTTTGTTTTAAATTTTCTTTTGTGCATATTCATGTAATGTGTAATTTTCTATGACTGTAATTTAGTAGCCATTGATGAGGCAGTATATAACAATGAGATAGAAAATGCACTGAGTTTGTTGGAGCCAATGTCTCATTGTTATAAAAAGAGCCAATAGAACTCAATAACTTCTGGTTATATCATAACGTAAGGCTTTGCAAGTAATCCTATTCTTTATCTTTATTTAAGGCAGTTAATACAGGTGTGTTTGGGGCTTATGATTGGGGAAGTCCATCTCTAAATATGCTACACTACAATCAGGTAAGTCTTTTTAATCCACATTTAATGATCTGGTCCCTACAAAAGGTATATACTATAAGAAATTTAACCAAAGTCTTTTTTAAAAAAAATAATAAGACACGGGTACATTTTATTTTCCTTAGGAAGATACACCACACAGAACTTTGGGAAAATTAAAAACAAATAGCATTATCTTTTGTAAGATGATACTGTGAAACCAATGTTTTATCTATCATAGTATCTGAATGTCACAAAACCATGTGGGATTAATCATATAATGATATAATCATTTCACATGTAAAGAACCAAGGCTCAGAGAATTTAGGACTTGTATGATTTCAAATTTGAATAACAGTGCACTACAAACTGGGTGTTGTCACACATCCCAGTCACCTTAGAATTAAGGATTCCGAGAGAGGAGGATTTTGGCAAGAATCCAGCATAGGCTACATAGAAAATACTGTCTCAAAATTAAAGTAAATAAATATATAAAAATGAAATTAATTTTTTCCTGTCAAGGTCTAAATCATCAATAATTTCTATGGAGATAGTAAGCACACCATTATAATTATCCTGTCACATAAGAGAATAAGCCATCAATAACAGTCATATATTTTTGCTAAACTCTTTATCACTTTCCACCAGACAACTCCTCCATTATACAATCTGGAAGACATGAAGGTTCCAACTGCCATGTGGAGTGGCAGAAATGACTTTTTGGCTGATGACATAGATGTTGCACATTTGGTATCCAAACTTCCCAATCTCATTTACCATAAGATTATTGCTGATTTTAGCCATCTTGATTTTGTAGTGGGATTGAGTGCTTATGATGAGGTGTCCAAAGGTATTTTAAAACTTCTTCATGAATCTGAGACTGAAAATTTGCATTAGCTTTTTGCATGTGTTTCAAACCCCTCGGAAACTTTCTTGCTATTGTAAGTGCAGATAATTTTTGCTTGGCCTTTTTCACTTTAATTGTTTTTTTTATTTTTAAACTATTTCTTCATTTATTGGATTTTATTTTTACTAGTGAAAAATTATGTGCATCAAGAAAATGCTTCATCTTGTGACTGTTTCTTAATGAATGTATGTTTTTAAAAATATTTTTGACATGAGTGCTCTTGAAGAGAAGGCCTACTTTTGATTTGCATTGATAAAATCCTAAAATAATGATGTCTGGAGAACAAACTATAAAATGTTTCATGTAATAGGACCAGGACTCCATAGTCCTGTTCCTTATAATCCACAAGTCTTATTCACTAGTCTCAGTGCAAGGTCCCTACCCCATCACAACCTGTGTGGACCAGGTACTGTTTTGTATAGGTCACTCTGTCAATATTGTCTGGTTTGAGAATAAGAAGAAATATTACAAGTGATCTGAGTCATATACAGAGATAATTTACACGATTAATCATTCATGACAGCCCCTGAATAATGTGGCGTTAATTATACATATATGATCTGGAACTCTCCTTACAACCTAAGGTGACTATATATTTTGTGTGTGTGTGTGTGTGTGTGTGTGTGTGTGTGTGTGTGTGTGTAGG